GGTCACGAGCAGTTGTCCAAGCATTTCACTACATATCGTACTGTGTATGACTGTGTACGTGACAAATAAAATTTGAATTTGAAATTTGAATTTGAATTTAACATATCTCATCCTTCCCTGGAGCACTATTACTGGTCCTGCCCAGAGCTCTTTTCAGTTCTCCAATAGATAAGGGACAACTCATTACATCTGCAGTACTGTCCTTCCTCCCTAAAGCTTCAAGATTTCTTTCTTTAGTCCTCTCTCTTCCTCGTTTACTTTCATCTGACAAATTTCTCCCACTATGTATATCCACAAAAGTACTTGCCAATAAATCTGCTTTTTCCCCATCAGTTACAGCTGCTCGATTATTCTTATCAAGAACTGGATAACTCTCCAAGTCTCTTCTTTCTCCCTGATCATCCCCCACACTTCCCCTATTTGAGTATTACTACCAATTGTATTACAGAAATCTCTCCAGTATGTTCTCTTTGTTCTTCTGATTGTACTCCTGACTTTTGCCTGCGCTTTTTTGTAGTCAATTAAGTGTTGAAAATTATGAGACCATTTAACCAACTTAAATGCTCTAATTTTTTTCTCTAACTACTAACTGACATTCGTCATTCCACCATGGGACTGCTCTCCCATGCTCTTTTCCACCAGTGGAATTGTGCAGCGTTGCTGTTATAGTTAGTGTGGATTTTTGTATAAGGTGTGTTTGGTTGGTGGTTTGGTGTGTGAGTGAGGTAAGTAAGCGAGTCGGCCGAAGGCCTGTACAGGTCCGGTAATGGTCTCCTGCAGACTTCTTCTCATAGACCAGGGTTGGCACTGATGGAGGGCAGAAGGAGTGAGTGGAATAGTATGGATGGTAGTGAAGATGAAGAGATTGGCGGTCAGGGTGAAGAGAATGAGTGGGAAAAGGTTGGAAAGGGGACGGAACGGGAGGGACTGATAGTGAAGGTAATGAAGAGGGAACGAGTTCGAGTATGAATGTAATTGTCAGGTGTGAGGAAGAGGGTGTAAAGAAACTAGATCCACTTGAGCTAACAAGAGCACTTAAGGCACAAGTTGGGGAAATCAAGTATGCTAAGATACTCAGAGATGGAAATTCTCTCACAAACCGGAGCCTGACTCTAGCTCGTAACCCGTTGCCCTCCAAACTTATCACTTTTCATTGTTACACATCATTTAATTTATAGACATGGTTTGATGTCTTTGCACGCATGCTTGGATGGGTTGTTACCAACGTCTGGTGAGCATTTCACATCAGTAACACCTTATACTTTTACCTCATCAGTGGTCTTTTCCCCTAAACCTGTGGAGCCCAAACAGAACGAGACTGTACCTTTGTACCAGCAGAACAGTCGTATGCAGTACCAAATGCTGCAGTCTTTCCTCGGGAAACTGAAATATATTTACTTTAAAAATTGGTGACGTATTAAAGATTTATTTTACACACTGTGTTTATTTTAATGAATTCTATTCTATTTGTTATTTTCATGGAAAAGGTGGACCTCTTCTGGCTCCCTCCCTGAGCTTTTCCTGGTTTCTGTGTTGTAGGCACCTCTAAGCATCATCGCTGTTTCAAGCCTGCAGTTTCAGATGATTCGGATTCATTAACCTACACACAGCGCCAAGAACAAAACTGATTATGTGTATAATTCTGTGTGCACTTTAGTTTGCACAGTCTGAGAGCGTTTGGTGTTGGTGAATAAAGGCCTCTGAAAGTGTCAGGAAATATGTGCCTTCCTGTGACTGCAGAGAGGAGGGGCTACACTGCACATAAGAGGTAGCTTTGAAAAGCTTTAGGACTTCCAGATCAGACTCCACTTCACAGCTGACAGAGCAGGAACAGAAAAACAAGGTGAGTGTTGGTCCACATTCTTCGACCTTCATGTTCTAACAGTATTTGTATTGAATAGACCTGTTTGTTCAGACTGATAGTAGAGTAAAATATTCAGATAGAACAAATGCCTGACAGATATGTATGGGAGCAGTGGTGACACAGGGGTGAAAGAGTCCTGTGACCACCCACTGTGGCAGCACACGTAACACTTACTGCTGGTCTTTATGCCACAGCTCACGGTGTAAGGCACATATATATGCTTGCAAACTTCCATATTTTAAAGCTTGGTGCAATGGGGAAAAAAATCATGAATATAGAAAATTAATTGACAGTAAATTAGTAATATTACTGAAGAAAAGCACCACAATAAGTCTGCAGCTCCTGCAGGACGCCCAGGGAGCCTCCTCTTCCCTTTATTTTGTTCCTTTTTGTGTGGAATGTGATTATATCCTCTTAAAGTGCATAAGTTCAGGGCAGAAGTTTAAAAGGCAATTCCTACAATTGTTGAAGTGCCACAATAGTCCAATCAGTTACTGCCAGCATTCCTCCAACGTAAATGTGATAAGAATAAAGGAGGAAATAAAAGGCATTAAAGAAGGACACATGCAGATCTAAGACAGTACAGCTTCTGTCGTGAATGACAGTAACGATGGGGAGAAAGAGACTGACACTTTTAAATGTGATCAATTAGAACAACCAAAACACGTTTTATGTGGTAACATATATTTGAAGTCTTTGCTTCCATTTCTCATCAATTTAACCTCTTTGGAAACCCAAACATGTACAGTGAGGGAGTTTCAGACCCAGGTTTTAGTCAGGGGTGGGACTGAACTCACATGTACGTCTCAATCATTCACTTTACTGCAGTCTCACATTCACTAGCTGGGACCACATCCTCTGTAACGATGGGTGATGAGGGATGAGGAAGTGTGAACTGGTGCTCCGGTTTGGGGAAGGCAAAAATGACCTCATATTGAACACCTGTAAGTTGAAGGAAATGAGATTTCCAAAGTTTCCGGCCTCCCCTCCAGCCTGTGAAAGCTTGTGGGGTGGACATAGGGTTGATATCAAAATCTAAATATCTAGGTTTACAACCAGATAACAAACTAGACTGCCAAATCACCTTTTCTTTTTTGTTAAGGGAACTAAGATCCGTTGATATCTGCAGTAAAATGCTGCAGATGTTCTATAAGTCTGTGGCAGCAGGTGTGCTGTTCTGTGCTGCAGTCTGCTGGCAAGGAATCATCAGAAACAAGGATGCAAGGAGACAAACTAGTGAGGAAAGTGTTGGGATTCAGAGATTCTTTTATTGCTACCATATAATCTGCCTTATGAAGAATGTATTAATAACATGTTTTACAGTATCATTTATCAGTAATATTTCCTGCAGGGTTTATATTGCATTGAATATGTCTGTCATCACATTGACCTTTCTATTTTTATAGGTTGAGTTCATTTTATACACAATGCATGAATGTGCTTGGTTAGAGTTGATGTTCCATTCTAGAAGGTTTTAAGCTTCACTGGTGAGAGTGTCCAGATGATACATGCTGAGGGGAGATGAGAACATAGCAGGTTAATTGCATGCACGCTTACGATACACATATTAATCTAGTAGCAGGTCTGAGCGAAGGCCTAAGCGTCTTCTGCTTCAGTTTGAGACTGGCTGCAAAGTACTCTACTTAGTTATTAATGACGAGGGTCCATTATTAGCTCTTAGAGATGCTGAGACCTGAAGTTATTACCTTAAAAGGCAAGTAATGTAGAAAAGGGAAGTTATATGTCAGTGTAAGGTTATATGTACGTGATGTACCCTTGTCTGCACGGGTTGAACTTTTCCCCGTCTGTCACCATGTATTTTTGAACTGTATTGACGTAGGTGTGATATTTTATCCTATAAAACCAGAACCCAATGTATTCTTGTCAGAGCAAAACAATCCGTATGCTGACGGTTGGTTGTTCTCCTGTGATAATAAAACTCATCGTTTGATTGCACTTTTCCGGAGCCTCCGTAGTTTGTTGTCTGGTCTAAAGTTGATCGATCTCGCAGCAAAAGCTGGCTCTGTAATTAAAGCCAGACTGGACAAGCTGGGAGATGTGATGGAAAGATGCAAACTAAAGATGTTAGAAGCTTGAACAACTTTGATCACCCACTTTATAACATCTTTATGGAACAATATTAGTATTGGTAGACTCCTCTCTCTGTTTTAACGTGTGTGGGGGTTACTTTATGAGATTAAAATAAGTCATATTTGTTTCTTCCAGTCTGCTCTGTGATGTAATTTTCTAATGTGGAGTATGTGATTTTTGCTTTTTTTGTTCCTCCAGTACAAATGTCAGATTAAAGAGTTCTGTGATTTAAATCATTTTTCTGTGGCCATGATTGGAGGACTGAGAAGGAACTGTTACACTGAGGGAGGGGTTTCACTTTGATGGCTGCTATGTGATTCATCCAGCATTTGTGGTCATCTCCTTCTGTCTTAGGCAGCGCTGCGCGCTGAGGGTGAATGACCCTGAGGGCCTAGAAGTAAGAAGTTCACTCTGACCTGCAGAACCATTAGCTTTTTCAAAGAATGAAAGCATTAGAAATGGGTTTAATCCAGCCTTGTTTGTGCTCTGATGTCTTAGAGAAGGCACGGATAACTTTGAAGTTTTAGGGTTCTGTTAATACATAAAAACTAAACTGATGCTAATGGTGTGAATCCTGTAGATATTCTTCTTCTGCCTCACACTCAGTGCTTCTAGTTTCTCAAACGGAGCAAGAAAAGTGCAGAGTAACCCATGTACAGGCTAAAGAGCCTGACACATTTCTGCACTTTTTATTAGTGTGTATGTCAAGCAGCCAACATGCTTCTAAGGAACCTTATCAGTTGGTGGTTAGGCCAACTCTGTATAACATCCTGTATTCAAACATCCTGTTGTAACCCTTCATTTCACACTTTTCACTGAAACATTTTTAAGTGCTTGTTGGCTTAATTTTTCTTTTACAAAAGTATATAATTACAAACATAGTCAATTTAAACAATCTTGAATTAGTTTAGGGGTTAGTCATGGCATTACACTAAATTATCCAGGTATCTGGATTTTTTTCTTTGCATGGAGTTTCTTTCCTTCTGTGCCTTGTAGTTAGTCGTTTTTTAACCGCAAACCTTTTTTTTTTCTTTTTTTTGCAAGACAGCAAGGCAATGATCCAACACACACCGGCAAGTCCACCTATAAATGGCTCCAAAACCAAAAAGAGAAACAAGTGCTGCATTTGCTATATAAGTCATTTATATTTAGCAATTTCTATCATTTTTAAGGGTAAAAAAAAAAAGTCACGCTGTTGACGTAGAAGTCCCAAAAACACAAAAACACATATGAAATACGACACGCTTTTCTTTAAAGGGTTAATCACAGCTGGAATTAACTGATAAGACCCCGAAATTCTCACACTCACACAGGTTTCGCCTTTAAATCAGCAAAATCAGCTTTCTTAACTCATGATATCAGCGATACCTAGGAACAGCCCTGGTGTGTTCCTGTGTTTTGTTTCTTTTCAAATTGAGTTGTCTATGAATGAATTAAAACACTTGTAATTACCGTGAGCGTTGATAAACCAGAAAATTGTTGTTTTTACAGTTCTGACACCTGTTGAATCTTCACATGATAAACGATGGCGACACATAAAGAAGTCCTTCTGCAGACCTTGGAGGACTTGGGAGGTGATGACTTCAAAAAATTCAAGTGGATACTGTGTCAGAAGGGGGCCATGGAAGGTTTCCCATCAATCCCAACAAGTCGGCTGGAGAACGCAGACAGGCTGGACACAGTCGATCAAATGTTCCAGACCTACTCAACCAATACCGTTAAAGTTACTAAAATGGCTTTGGTGAAGATTGACAAAAATGATCTGCTGAAAAATTTGAAAGACATAACCTCAGAACCCACAGGTAAATCAGGGAAGGATTAATAAGTGGGATATTACAAAGTTATTAAGAAAGAAAGCAATAAAAACATTGATTAGGTCACATGATTCATATGTCATAACCATCCATAGCATTGATAGACACGCTGGTCCAGCCAAACACCAGAAATGAAATTATTTGTTCTTGTTTTCTATATGAGTTAATGCACAAGTGCAAGTTTGCAAGTTTGAATCACTGCCTTTTTAAACATGATTGTATTCTTTTTAAATATATTAATTAAATATATATTGCTTGATTAGGTTAAACTAATTGGGAGGGTGGTTTAGATGTCATTTAAAACTGTATAAAACCTACTAACAACATATGATTTTAAAATAGAGGATTTCCTAGTCAACAATACCCAGACCTCCCTCTCCCCAGCCATCACCTCCAGCTTAGTGAAGAGATGAAATCTCCACAGCATGTCCTGGGTCTGCTCCAGGCCTCATTCCTGTGGAACATGCCTGAGAGGCAGAGGCCAGTCACCTTTCTGAGAAAGCTTATTTCTCTCTGATGGACTGATACAATGTCCGCATCAATCACTACTTGTTATTAATCTCTTCAATCTGTCATTGAAGAGAATGGCAACCTCAACATCGAAGTTTACCAGAAGCCCACACACATGGACCAGTACCTCCTCTTTGACTCCCATCACCCTCTGGAACACAAACTTGGAGTAATTAGGACCCTACACCACCGGGCAGAACATGTTCCCTCTAAGCCTGAAGGAAAAAAGAAAGAACACACGCATGTAAAGGAAGCACTCAAAACGACTGCACATGAACACAATGTAACGGTGCTGGTATGTAGGCCATCCCAGTACCTTGCACTATTGTACTTACGTTACAGGATGACTCATCACTGACTGGTAAAACATCGGCCAATAGAAACGATTGTGAGCCACCCGTGTCCCTTAGTATTCTCACGGGCTTCTGATCCCCAGGAAACCCTGTTAAGGAGACAAAACCATCAAAAATGAAGGGTTTAAAACACTTATCAGGTTCACTCGTGGTCATATTAGAGGGGCAGTTTAGCGACTTGACTAGGCCAACCCCTTTAGCTTGTTTTAATTGCTGGGGCACTTGTTTACGTTTAAGAGCCAAACACTCAGAAACTATAAGCCGTACGTTCCCTTTCTTTGGCTTCAAGTTCAAGATGAGCCAAATGTACCTTTAAACGTGCACCAACACTGGAATTACTGGATTCGACAGAGAAGGGCTCAAACCGTGGAAGAGAGGCTGGGGGTTTTCCCCCACCTGGTTTGACCACAATAGGTGTCACTGTCCCCTCCTCAGCACAAACCTCAGGCTGATCAGACGTTTCAAAGACCGATGCTGCATCCCTAGTGTCCGCGTCCAAAGGGAACACACCTTTCCCAACCAACCCACTGACCACAAGAGACTTTAACTCGCTCTTCTTCATGGTCTTAGCCACAGGGATTTCATAATGCGCGGCAACAGCACATAAATCCTCCTTCCTACATGCATCAAGCTGGTCTAATGCAGGCTTAGCTATAAAATCACCCAGGCTAAACTGTGCCATATTCAAAATTTATCCCGGACGAGCCCCCACTTACTTCAAATACAACGAAGGCTTCTACAGACAAAAACATGGCTGTGCCATGGGCTCCCCTGTGTCACCTATTGTAGCAACCTTTACATGAAGGAAGTGGAAAGGAAGGCTCTTGGCTCTTTCAAAGGAAGAGTACCCAGCCACTGGTACAGATATGTGGACGACACCTGGGTCAAAATCAAGACACAAGAAGTGGAATCCTTCACTGTGCACATTAATGCTGTGGATAAAAACATCAAGTTCACCAGGGAAGACACAAAGGATAACTGTTTGCCTTTCCTGGACTGTGCTGTGCACATTGAAGAGAATGGCAACCTCAACATCGAAGTTTACCGGAAGCCCACACACACGGACCAGTACCTCATCTGTGGTCATGAAGTCATTTGAGCGCCTGGTTCTCTCCTATCTCAAGACCCTCACGGCCCCCCTCCTGGACCCCCTGCAGTTTGCATACAGAGCCAACAGGTCTGTAGATGACGCCATCAACATGGCCCTACACTTCATCCTGCAGCATCTGGACTCCCCAGGAACCTACGCCAGGATCCTGTTTGTGGACTTCAGCTCTGCCTTCAACACCATCCTTCCAGACCATCTCCGAGGCAAGCTTTCCCAGATGAATGTGCCTGATCCCATCTGCCGGTGGATCACTGACTTCCTGACGGACAGGAAGCAGCATGTGAGGCTGGGAAAGAATGTCTCGGACTCCCGGACCATCAGCACCGGCTCCCCTCAGGGCTGTGTTCTTTCTCCTCTGCTCTTCTCCCTGTACACCAACTGCTGCACCTCCACCCACCAGTCTGTCAAGCTAATCAAGTTTGCAGATGACACCACCGTTATTGGGCTCATCTCGGACGGGGATGAGTCTGCCTACAGGAGGGAGGTTGAACGTCTGGTGTCCTGGTGCAGCCACAACAACCTGGTGCTGAATGCCCAGAAGACAGTGGAGATTATTGTGGACTTCAGGAAGCACACAGCCCCACTCCCCCCCATCATCCTGACTGACACCCCCATCACCTCTGTGGACTCATTCCGCTTCCTGGGTACCACCATCACCCAGGACCTGAAGTGGGAGCCCACCATCACCTCCGTCATCAAGAAAGCCCAGCAGAGGATGTACTTCCTGAGGCAGCTGAAGAAATTCAACCTGCCAACACGGACGATGATGCAATTCTACACCGCAATCATCGAGTCCATCCTCACCTCCTCCATCACCGTGTGGTACGCTGGAGCCACTATCAGGGACAAACAGAGACTGCAGCGTGTTGTGCGCTCTGCTGAGAAGGTGATTGGCTGCAGACTCCCATCTCTGCAGGACCTGTACACCTCCAGGACACTGCGGCGTGCAGCTCGGATCTCAGCTGACCCTTCTCACCCTGGATACAGTCTGTTTGACCTGCTCCCCTCAGGCAGGAGGCTCCGGTCCATTCGCACCAGAACCTCTCGCCATAAGAACAGTTTCTTCCCCTCTGCTGTTGGACACATGAACAATAAACGTACGACTGTTCCCACCACTAACACATGACCCTACGCTGTGTTCACTGCATCATTCCATGTTTTGGCACTGATCACCACCTGCACTCATGTATATATCTTTCTACGTAGCACTTTTAATTCTTATTCTTACTTTTATTTTTTCATGTCTATTTAAGCGCAATTTATGACAGTATGTTTGCACTGAAGCACCGCAGCAATTTCCTAATGTTGTAAACCTGCTCAACATTTGGCAATAAAACCCTTCTGATTCTGATTCTGATTCTGATTGACGCCCATCACCCTCTGGAACACAAACTTGAAGTAATTAGGACCCTACACCACCGGGCAGAACATGTTCCCTCTAAGCCTGAAGGAAAAAAGAAGGAACACACACATGTAAAGGAAGCACTCAAAACGTGCGGCTATCCTAAATGGGCGTTCTTAAAGTCAGCAAAGAGGCACAGAAAAGAAGATCAGACACCAGCGAGGGAGGATAAGAAGGACAGACGCAACAACATTGTCATCCCCTATGTAGCCGGTGTATCAGAAAAACTCAGGAGAGTTTTCTCCAAGCATGACATCCCGGTGCATTTCAGACCCAGCAACACGCTCAGACAAAAACTGGTTCACCCGAAAGACAAAACTCCAAAACACAGACTTAACAATGTGGTGTATGCTGTACAGTGCAGCGAGGAATGCCCAGACCTCTACATTGGAGAGACCAAACAGCCACTTCACAAGCGCATGGCACAACACAGAAGAGCCACCTCCACAGGACAAGACTCAGCAGTCCATCTGCATCTTAAGGATAAAGGACACTCTTTCGAGGATGCCAATGTTCACATTTTGGACAGAGAGGACAGATGGTTTGAAAGAGGAGTGAAAGAAGCCATCTATGTCCACTGTGAGCGACCATCTTTGAACAGAGGCGGGGGTTTACGACACCAACTCTCTGCCATCTATAATCCAGTTTTGAGATCCCTCCCCAGACGCCTTAACGCCCACTCACATCCTGGGCCATCTGACCTCAGGAATTCGCATGATAAGGTGGGGCCAGGTTTCACAATGAACTCACCCGAAACTCTGGCTGATTGGGACCCACACCCAGTTTCACACCTTGGCTCAGGCGATTAGAGGATCATCAGGGGGTCCTTTTGTCCCTCTGTGGGGGGAACTCCCACTAGGTTTATATCTGGGACTCTCCACCATTTGACCTTAGAACTGAAGAAGCTTCTCGGATGAGAGGTGAAACGTCTTCAAGCAACTTAAAGAAGTCCAGACGCTTTTCTTTGCAAGCTCCTTTGACTACGATGACCTGGATGACTGAGAACCTTCACAGACAATCTCTAGCTCTCTTCGCCAGCATGTCTTTATCCTGTCTTCCTTCTCTCACTCCAACCGGTCACAGCACCCCAACCATACCCAGAGATACCTAAACACCTTCATTTTGGGCAGCAACTTGTCCCTGACCTGGAGTGAGTATTCCACTTTTTTCTGGCTAAAGACCAGGCTGGAAACCACCACCTGATCAAGCCAGCAGAACCACATCGTCTGCAAAACATAGAGATAAGATTCTGAGCCCATCAAAGTCAAAGCCTGCTGCCATCTGGCATGTCTAGAAATTCTGTCAATAAAAACTGGCAACACAGTTTAGCCTAACTCTAACACATTTTCACAAAGAACCTCCAACAGGATACTTCGAGGGACGTCATTGAATGCCTTCTCCAGGTCCACAATACACATGTAGATTGGCTGGGAAAACTCCCAGACACCCTCAAATGTCATTGAGAGGATAAAGAGCTGGTCCAGTGTTCCATGACCAGAAAAACCCCCATATTGTTTCTCCCATATCTGAGGCACTAATGGACAAACTCCTCTTTCCAATCCCATGACATAGACCTTGCCACAGAGTCTGACAAGTGTGATTCCCTTGTAGCTGGAGCACACCCTCTGCTGAAGTCCCACAGGCTAACCAAGCCCAACAGGACTTCTTCAGCTTGATAGCTGTCTTCACCTTCAGTGTCCACCATCTAGTTCGGGGATTACCACACGACAGGCACCAACTACCTTGCAACTGCAGTGCCTTGCAAAACTCCAGGTGTTGATCAGTTGACAAATCAGCTCCTACTCTTCACCTGAATGTCCAGAACATGTGGCCACAGATTCGATGATATGGTTACCAAATCAATCATAAGATAAGATAAGATAAGATAAGATAAGATAAGATAAGATAAGATAAGATAAGATAAGATAACCTTTATTAGTCCCACATATGGGAAATTTTGTCAAGGGTCATATACCTGTGACCTGTGACCTAGCTAAAACTAACAGTTTTGGCAGTATATCACTCTGGTGTGTCATTCAGGCTTTCTGGCATATCTAGAAGGTAGAGAGGGACAGAGACAGCTCTTTGTCAAGAGGCTAGCAGACATACCACTCTAGGTAGTGAATAAACACTTGATGAATTGTACCAGCATGCCCGACACAACTTTCCTGTTGATAATCTTGGCCATCATAATAAATTGAAATGAAAAGAAAAAGCAGAGTGAAAAAGGCAAGTTAAGTGATACGACACTTGATTCTTGATCATGGATTTTCTGTACAGTATCTTCTCATTTGATTTGAGATATTAGGTAGACAGGCATGCTCTGTAGAGGTTTTTAAAACTAAGCTGAAGACACATTTGTTCACCCTATCTTACATGTCTTGATTCTATGCCTTATAGTTTTTAAATTCTTACTGTTTTTAACTTGTATTGTGTTTTTTACTTGTATTGATATGTATCGCTTTTATTTATTTATCTTTTTAGTTTCAAATAGCTGTACAGCACTTTGTTTGAAAGCGCTGTATAAATAAAGTTAGTATTATTATTTAATATTTTTTTCTTCTTTCAGAGATTCAGAGATTATGTCAGCACAAGTTCAAGTCAAATCTGAAGAAGAGGTTACAGTGTGTGTTTGAGGGGATTGCTAAAGCAGGAAACAAAACAATTCTGAATCAGATCTACACAGAGCTCTACATCATAGAGGGAGGGACTGCAGAGGTCAGTAATAAACATGAAGTCACTCAGATTGAAACAGCATCCAGGAAACTAGACAGACCAGAAGCAACAATCAGACAAGAAGACATCTTTAAAGCCTCACCTGGAAGAGATGAACCAATCAGAACAGTGCTGACAAAGGGAGTGGCTGGCATTGGGAAAACAGTCTTAACACAGAAATTCACCCTGGACTGGGCTGAAGACAAAGCCAACCAGGACATCCAGTTCATGTTTCCATTCACTTTCAGAGAGCTGAATGTGCTGAAAGAGGAAAAGTTCAGCTTGGTGGGACTTGTTCATCACTTCTTTACTGAAACCAAAGAAGCAGGAATCTGCAGCTTTGAAGACTTCCAGGTTGTGTTCATCTTTGATGGTCTGGATGAGTGTCGACTTCCTCTGGACTTCAACAAAACTAAAATCCTGACTGATGTTACTGAGTCCACCTCAGTGAATGTGCTACTGACCAACCTCATCAGGGGGAAATTGCTTCCCTCTGCTCACCTATGGATAACCACAAGACCTGCAGCAGCCAATCAGATCCCTTCTGACTGTGTTTGTATGGTGACAGAGATCAGAGGGTTTACTGACCCACAAAAGGAGGAGTACTTCAGGAAGAGATTCAGAGATAGGGAGCAGGCTGGCAGGATCATCTCCCACATTGAGACATCACAAAGCCTCCACACAATGTGCCACATCCCAGTCTTCTGCTGGATCACTGCTGCAGTTCTGGAGAATTTCCTGAAAACCAGTGAGGGTAGAGATTTACCCAAGACTTTAACTGATATATACAGCCACTTCCTGGTGCTACAAGCCAAAGGGAAGAAGGGCAAGTCTAATGGCGGAGCTGACAGAGATTCATGGTGGAGTCCCGAAATCAAGAAGATGATTGAGTATCTGGGAAAACTTGCCTTTGATCAGCTTCAGAAAGGAAACCTGATCTTCTATGAATCAGACCTGACAGAGTGTGGCATCGATATCAGTGATGCTTCAGTGTACTCAGGAATGTTCTCACACATATTTAAAGAGGAGAGAGGACTGTACCAGGACAAGGTGTTCTTCTTCACCCATCTGAGTGTTCAGGAGTTTCTGGCTGCTCTTTATGTCCATCTGACCTTCATCAACTCTGGAGTCAACCTGCTTAAAGAAAAAACATATCAGTTGTCTAAAGTTTTCAGAAACAAACATACAGTTAAACAGTTTTACAAGAGTGCTGTGAAGAAGGCCTTACAGAGTCCAAATGGACACCTGGACTTGTTCCTCCGTTTCCTCCTGGGTCTTTCAATGCTGAACAATGAGAGTCCCTCACAAGGCCTGCTGACACAGATAGGAAGTATCTCACAGAATAATCAAGAAATAGTCCAGTACATCAAGAAGAAGATCAATGAGAACCTGTCTGCAGAGAAATGCATCAATCTGTTCCACTGTCTGAACGAACTCAGTGATTGTTCTCTAGTGGAGGAGATCCAACAGTCCCTGAGATCAGGAAGTCTCTCCACAAATAAACTGTCTCCTGCTCAGTGGTCAGCTCTGGTCTTCATCTTACTGTCATCAGAAAAAGATCTGAATGAGTTTGACCTGAAAAAATACTCTGACTCAAATTCAGAGGAGGCTCTTCTGAGGCTGCTTCCAGTTGCCAAAGCCTCCAAGAAAGTGCTGTAGGTGGAGTTATTAATAATTTATTTAAGTTTAAGTTAAGTTCCTAAAAAGTAAGAATTATTTCTAAGTCTGTGTATATTATTGCTTTTCTTTCTTAGGCTGAGGGGTTGTAACCTCTCAGAGAGAAGCTGTGAAGCTCTAGCCACAATCCTCAGCTCCCCATCCAGTAATGTAAAAGAGCTTGACCTGAGTGAAACCAGTTTGCCAGATTCAGGGATGAAGCTACTTTCCTCTGGACTGATGAGTACACACTGTACTTTAGGCAGTCTCAGGTAAGATCTTAAACACTGCAGATTTGTGTAATTTCTTTCATGTCATCTTTCTTGCTCAATGTCAAGGACACCATCATGACATCATAAATTTTAGTGTATAGTCCATATATCAGTGTCCATACATGGATGTATCATAACAAACATTTGCAACAGATATTTTTTTTACTGCTCATCAGATGAATTTTTAAAATGAATAATTTATATCTAACAAATCATGTAATATTAAGCACACTCACAAAATGTGCACACAATTTAGACATCAGAAATCAGTACTTTTGATTTATCCAGCACACGGAGGGTTCATGTTAATGTCAGTGGAACTAAGTGTACTATTTTTCATTCAGTTTAAGGAGTTGCAATTTGTCAGAAATCAGCTGTAATTCTCTGGGCTCAGCTCTGAAGTCCAACTCCTCATATCTGAAAGAGCTGGAGCTGAGTTCCAATGACCTACGGGATTCAAGAGTGGAGAAACTGTGTGGTTTTCTGGAGAGTCAGAAATGCAGACTGGAGACTCTGAGGTCAGACACCTTGTTTTAACTGAGCACTGAGATGAATATAATGTAACAATGCTTTACCTGATAGATGTCATCAGCAGTGTTGGTCAAGTTACTTGAAAAAAGTAATCAGTAACTAATTACTGATTACTTCCCC